TCCAGAGGGCAGGACAGAGGCACCGTGGAGATCATTAGGGACGTGAAGTGGGCTGCCGCTCAGCATGCTGGGTTTTTTATATATACCCAAATAATACTCAGGTTTTTTTCCTTTCTGTGTCACATGTGGAAATTACCATGAATGACAACTTTAAGTCAATAATGGATTGAAGAAGGTGTATCAAGATGTCAGCTATTGACATTTCTAATTTTTAAAAGGCATATGGTAAAAGGAAAGCTGAGTTGGCTCTTTTTGAATTGAGACTTCACTTCTTAGGTGTGCCTTCAGTATCTGCCCATGAACACAGTTCATCTTGCAATCTTGTGCTTGTGATCACTTTTCCAATAGATATTTGAGACTAGTAAAGGTTTTTCTTGCTCGAAAACCAGTCGAGCCCGGCTCTAGGGGTTGGTGCTCATCTCCGTTTCCAAGCCGAAGAGCTAGTGCTGCCGAAAGACTTCTCTGTGGTCATGTGGCCGGCATGACTAAACACTGAGGCGCACGGAACGCTGTTCCCTTCTCACCAAAGCGGTACTTATTTATCTACTTGCAGTTTCTTGCTTTTGAACTGGTAGGTTGGCAGGAGCTGGGGCCAGAGACGGGAGCTCACTCCGTCCCGCGGCACTCGGGTATCGAACTGCCGAACTACCGACCTTCCAGTCTGCAGCTCAGCATCTTAACCTCAGAGCCACCATGGCCCCAATTTGAGACTACACAGGCACGATAAAAAGGCAGAGAGATCCATCTAATATCTGCTATTTAAAGATTGCATCCTATTGCATAGTTGCAAAGAAGAGGGAAACTGCAATCAATTCCGTGCTTCACAAGACAAGTTGGTTAGTTTTCTGGGCCACCTGAAGCACCTTTCTGAACCCGCTGACTTCAGCGCACTTAGAAGGGTGTCACTTTGGTTAGGATGATCGAAAATGAGTCAAGCAGCACCTTAAAGGCTAACAAAACTTATTCCAGTTTAAGCTTCTCTACGTCAGAGCAGCTGACTTTTATCCACCCAAAGCAGCTGAATTTATGCTCAGGTCCAAGCAACTGCCAAGGATGGGGGAGAGGAGGGATGGCAAGGAGCAGCCGACATCAGACCAATCAGAGCGCGAGGAATCCCTTCAAAACAAAGGGGAAGTATTCCCAGCAGGTGACCAGGATAAATCTCATGATGAAAAGTACAGCCTGAGACCTCTTAAGCAGGTCGAGAAGGGCAGTGCAGAGACTGTACAAAGGTGAAAGTGAGTCAGTAAAGACCTGCAGAGGGTCAGACTGAGGGCGGCACGAGTCACAACCCAACCCCAGCCTCAGGGGGCTCTTGCCTCTTCCTTCGTATATAATTTTAATTCTTGCCTTATACTGAATCAGACCTTTGGTCTCTCGTGGTTGCTATTCTCTGCGCGGACTGGCCGTGGCTCCCCAGGGTCTCTGGCAGAAGAGGTCCTTTCACCTGGAGATGCTGCCAGGGATGGGGCCTGGGCACTGGGGCCTGCTGCATGCCACGCAGAGGCTCTCCCGCTGAGCTGCAGCCCTTGGCCACTGGGCCCGTGCAGCTGCTGCAAGGTGTGGCAGCCTCCGAGTCTCCGAGCGCCACCAGCAGAGCGGCTCAGCACGGAACCAGGCATGAGATGAAATTGAACAGAGAGCATCAAGGTGATCCAGTTAGGATATCACCTTGTCTGTATTCTAGAGAGTTCAGTCGAGGCAAGATTGCCTGGTGACTGTGTGCTCATGACAAATTTTCCCGAAGGTCTAGCGGCAAGTAGAGCCAGTTTGGTGTAGTGGTTAAGTGCGCAGACTCTAATCTGGGAGAACCGGGTTTGATTCCCCACTCCCTCCACTTGCACCTGGCTGGATGACCTTGGGCAAGCCATAACTCTGGCACAGCTGTTCTTGAAAAAGAGCCCCGCCTCCCTCACAGGGTGTCTGTTGTGGGGAGGGGAGGGCAAAGGAGCTTGTAAGCCGCTCTGAGACACCTTCGGGTAGTGAAGGGCGGGGTATAAATCCAATCTCCTCCTCCTCCTCCTCCTCCTCCTCCTCCTCCTCCTTCCTCTTCTTCTTCTTCTTCTTCTTCTTCTTCTTCTTCTTCTTCTTCTTCTTCTTCTTCTTCTTCTTCTTCTTCTTCTTCTTCTTGTAAGGCTGCAGGGACATTGTCAGTTCTTTTAGGGTTCAGCTGATATTGCAGCAGATTTTTCCATTTCTCTTTTTTTTAATGACTGCATCTGTTTCACTTAATTTTAATTGACTCAACCAATCCTAAAAGCCTGCTGGCCATGGCAGTCCAATGCTGGTGGGGCTGGATCACCAATGCTGCATGGGTGCCACACATCAGCATTCTGCAACCGTTGTGCAGAGAGGAAAGAAATGGGCAGCACCCCTCTCCAAGTGCAGACTCCCTCACAAGCCAGGCGGGCAAAGCCCACCCACCAGGGAGCAGGGCAGCAGTGTGCCGGGAGTGACGTACACGGGCACAGCCAAGCACTGCCAGCCAATGCAGCCAGAGCCCCTGAGGCCCTGCCCCCTCCGCCAACCAGGGGAGCGCCAGAAGCAAGGATGGAAAGAGCTGCTAGCCCTGCGCTTCCCAAGGAGGCCAGTGGTGCTGCACGTGGGAGTGTCTCGGGAGCGCCACAGACAAGCCAGAGAACCCAGACTGGACATTGGGGCACCCGCAAGGCAACCCACAACTGCACCCTTAGCGAGGCCATCCTGTTCTGCCCCCCATAGTTCCCTGGAGAAGGGCATTTGTGTTGCCTGTGGGAGACAAGGGGTCAGTTCCCAGGAAGGGGAAAGGTGGCCAAAAGGCAACGCTTACTTTTGCCAAGCAGAGGGCTGAGTGGCACCAAACACCGGACTCGAACCCAGAGCTCTCCTGCATTTTGGGCCAGCTCCCTAACCCCTTAGCCAGTCAGGCATACATACAGGAGATACTGCAGAGGACGTTATGCATTCCCCAGCAGCAGCCCTGACGTCACCAGCCGCCGTACAGTGTCCCAGACAGGGAGCCTGGCAAATGGCAGCTTGGCCCGGCAGAACGCAGCGGGGTGGCAGGCCGCAGGCCACTAGCTTGGTTCTCAGGCAGGGAGAGCCCCGAGGCAGCCCAGTGGCACAGAGCTGACGTTTTGGCCAAGCAGACATTGGGGAGGGGCCAAACGTGTTGACTGGCTGTCCCACGTGTCTGTCATTTGGGCCAGTGTGCCAGGAGCCAAGCTGCAAGCAAGCACCACATAGGGGAGCGTAGGACATCATGGATGCACATTGCATCCTGTGCGATTCTCCACCTTGGGCCCAAATGAGATGAGCTGGCATCCCCGAGCTTGCCCCCCCCCCCCCATTGCTGTTTCAAGCTGGAAAAGGGCCCGGGGAGAGCGAGGCCAGAAACCCCCTTCCCCCTGCACTAGGGTGGTCCCAACCAGAGTCAGGCCCTTGCAGGGCCTGTGGGAACTCTGCAGAATGGCAGCATGTCCCTGGGGCAGGCCTGGGGACACCATTCTGCCGAGTCTGGCCCTCAGTGGGTGGCTTGGGGACTCTCTCTCTCTGCACCTTTTTCTGGTCTGTGTGCCAAACCAAGAACATCTCCCATGAAAAGATTTCTGTGCCAGCAGATCAAGTGAGAGGGGAGAGAGGCACGTGCCCCCGATTTATGTGGATGTGCCGCCAGTACACACACACATGAAGATGCTTACAATTGTGACAGCCCCTTGAAAAAATTTGGAAAGCAGTCCTTGGCCCACGTCAGTGAGAGCAAGTTATATATGTCCTTTAAGTTCCTCCATTCATTTGGTAGGCATACCTCCCCCCCCCACTGCAGTCAAAAAATGAATATATGAAGTTTATTTAATACATTACAGTTTAAATATAACTTTCTTCCAGGGATAACAGGGCAGGAGAGAGCTGGTTCTTGCAAATGTCCTGAGATCAGCCAGTGAAGCCAGACCTGGGGGGGGGGGGGGGGGGAGGGGAGATGCCCTTCTATATGAGCGGCTGTGGTGTGGGGGGTACCAGAGCAGGGCTGTCCTCTCTTTCTAGTTGTTTTAGAAGAGTTTAAAGAGATTTTTATGTCCTCATTACTGGTCTTTTACAACTGCTGCTGCTATTATATTTTGTAGCATTTTATTATTTTGATACTATTTTTATTATGTTATGAGTGCTTTTAAAAATCGCACGCATATATAGTTGTATAGCATACTTGGCAGTTATTGAAAAATGGTCTATAAATGTGAACATTTCTTAATTGGGAAA